GCTACCGCAATCACTGGTTGCTATGTTAAAAATGTAACTTCCGCTTTAAAAAGTGTGTTCGCATTATCAAACGCATCGGCAGAAAATTAAATAAAATTCATAATATGTAAGGATGCCAATTATTGTTCATTTTTATTCCCATCATAACTTGCGCTTTAAACAGCAAGTATGTTATTTGATGAAATCGAGGACAACTACGGCTGAAAATATAGCGGAATCTCACTATAATAGTGGTATACCACTATTATAGCGGAATTTACGTTTCCCCCCAACCTGTTTAGTACATGTATTTGCCGGAATGACCGAAAATCATAAATTATTCAATGGAAAAAAAAATAAAATTTCTATTTCCAGCAATTAAAAAGAAAAGCTAAACCTATTATTTTGCTTTAAGCTTGGTTTTCATTATTGCGACATATTATTAAAATAAGATTTTTGAAAAAGAAAAAAAGTTTTCTTCCTTAAAATCAAGAAATAATTGAAGAGAAAACAGCAAATGTATAATCTTGATGTATCATGAATTATTACGATATTTGTCCGACAAAGATCTATTGTGATCCATCGTGGTACTTTCCCCTAAAGATACACAACCTAAGCTATAAATTCAAATTCAATAAAGCATGTTATAGCAATTATGTTACTTATAATATAGCACTAGGTAAACATGAGCAAAAAATCTAATGCTGGCATGTATTTTTACGACATTTCAATTTAAAATTGCACCCCACAGTTAAATAAAGCGGTATATTTACTTAAGTCTAAAGAATTTTGTGTGTGGAATGAAAAATAAATAACCATCATCAATCTAAAAATTATTAGTTCTCAACTTCTGAACCCTGTTAGTACATGCTTCGTAATACACAAGTATTCCTCTAACAGCTGTCTTTATTCAGAACCACTTAGGAATCAGGGACGTAGCATCGTTTTTTTTTTTTGAAAGTGGGGGGGGGGGGGAGGCGCCAGAGAAAAAAAATTTCAACTTACCTGAAAAAATCTTGACAAGCAAAAAAAGGAAAATTGAACATTGTCCGAACTCGAAAATCCTATTTCGAGGGGGGTGGAGGGGGGGGGGGGTTAGGTTCAAACTTCTTTCAGTACCAAATTTTATCCATTATTAATCCTTACTTGACTATTCTACAACAAAAGGGGGGGGGGGGGCAACCGGCCTTTCAATTAACATTTCAAATAGTAAAAAAAGTCTTTGGAAAAAAGTGGGGGCCAGGCTACGTGCTACGTGCCTGGGAATCGAACCAGAAGCCTTGGACTAAGCTATGCATATCTTCAATACTTAAAATACTAAGTTTTACGAGGATAGTTATCGAGACGGGTTTATATATGAATTTATATTTTATTGCCAGGTTTTTGTTTATATTTCTGACATGGCAGTGCATTATAATTTAGCCTACCTCTGATTTAAGACTTCTCGCGTAGATTCTGCCGATATTTTACTGCTGCTTTCACACCTAATCCAAGAAACAATTGATCCGGTGATCGGGTAAATTGGACTAACATGTACATGTTAACCCTGCTTAAGTAGTATTCAGGTGAATTGTTGTTGGAATACACACTGAGCCATGCCGTACATCTTAATCCTAAGTCATACCCCTTGGTGAAAATAAATCATAATATTGCACTAAGGCAGAAATAAAATCCGTGTTTTCGTGATATCATTTAAAATTATTAAGCTTTATGGTTGAATAATTCCGATATCTCCACTTGACTAACATCCACCATTCTAAAAGTAATAAAACCTTTCAGGTATATATATATGATTTTTTTTCCTACAATGAACAAGAGATCGGGAATTTCCAGATTGATACGATGGTTATTTTTATCATCAAATCAAATTCCACGTCTCTCATAGTGTTCGAATAGGACTTCAACCGCGGACCCGTGGTTAACTGAGATATCGAGAGTTGTTTTCAAGTACTTAAGGAAATCGGATGCCTTCTTAAAATTGTTTCTGTTTACAAGAGCACACATTCATTGCTGATGTTCATCAATATAGCATGGTTTTAAAGATAAGCACGCACAATGTCACATGCATTTAATATTTCTTCAAAGCCATTAACATGGACATGGCTGTCATCGGGGTCGTTATCATCGGCAGACGGGGCCTCTATTTCTCGATTCATTTTGACTTTTTCTACGATATCCTAATCTTTCATTTTAACACAGGTTTATTTTGATGTCGGCGTTAGTGAACTACTCTAGGACTTCGGTGGTCAAGCTAAGAGAGAGGGATGTAATCACTAACGTCAAAATCGTCTTCTTCCCCCTCAGTCTCTGCTGTGGTAATCGTGCTAGCGCTTTTGCTTAATCGAAAATGCAGTTGAATTTGACACAGGTCCAAGCTTGGATCAACAGATGTAGAACAGAGATGTGATGTGAGGACTCGCTTTTAGATATAGAGTTGAACTTTTTAGACGGAGGCCTCTAGCCTCCGGCCTATAGGGATTGAAATCCTAACAAGTTCATTTGAGGTCAAAACCCCCGAAAAATTGGTAGTCCTATCGGATGGAAATTATACTAGGCGCAGATAACTCTACAGCCTCAATCGGAATTCCTCGGATGTGTCTCGCGCATTCATTTGCATTGGAGAGCACATTTCTCTCATCCGTACGTGTTGTTTATTTATAGATTGCGAATGATATAATGCATACTATAGACTTCTTATTTTTAAAAAAATCTTTCACCTTCACTTGACAAAAAATCGTAATAAATGGTCATAAGCGCTCCCCTATTTTAATTTTGTAAGTGTTGAAATGATAAGTATATCGGTACTATGGAATCGACAGGGCCTGCAGTGTCTGAGTTTCACGGTGCCCTAGGTTGTTACGTTTGTTATATTTAACCATTGTCTTCGGGGTTCATTGCTTTCAGTACACGGTGCCCCAGGTTGTTACTCGGTGAAAAATAGTTCATAGAAAAAAATCTTAAGTAAATGTTCGTATGTGGTATGCAAATTGAAGTATATAAAAAATAAAACATAAACTCTTAACATGTGATCCCCACCTAAATATTAGATAAGGATGTTATACTCGAATAATGTAATCCAGTGCGTAATGATATCTTGCACATAACGCTCGTGGCTTTGTTTACTAAGTTTTCACGCTTTCCTGAAAGCCTCCAGCTGCAGAAATACTAAACAAAGGTATGTTATGAATTTCATGTATTTTTATGTTGCATGCATAGCTTTAGGCATACGCTGTTTGTTTGAGATAGCATTTGTCTATTTTGTTTTTATAAACGATACAATGATGTAACAAAATTACAATTCATCCCGAGATAGCGTGGCCGCGTGGGTCTCCACATTGTTTTAGAATACAATAACACGACAAACATTTAAGTTTAATTATGCTTTTGTTTAATTTAGAAAAAGTTCCGTACAAGTGTGTCATTTTCACTAGTGGCTTTGTTAGAAAGTGTTACGTTTTCCTACACCTTCAGCAACCAGACAAAGGTAATTATGTTACGATTTTTTTATTTGTTTATATTAGCATGCAGTGAGTGGCAATCGTAACTATTCGGCCATTTTCGTGAACGTTTCTCTTTCGGAAAATAGCCGAGGTTTTACGAATGATAGCTACGATGGGGGCTCCATTTACAACGCTTCAACAATATTATAAGCTAATAAATTCATCCGGAAATGGAGTGGCAGGGTTTGTATTTTGTTTATAAAGTACATAGACACAAGAAATATGTGAATGTTAAATTTGGAGAAAGTTAATGGGGTTATTCAGTTAGGGAACACAGAAATAAAATTCACAGAAAACAATGAAGTCACCGCAATAAGCAATGTATTAAGACATTAAACTTGTAGTTGATGTTTCACAAGGAATAACAATGACATAAGTAATGAATGTTTAGAACTGTCTTGAAAATTGACTTGAAAGATTGACTAGAAATGTAAATAAGACTATGAAGACTCAGAAGATTTACTATAGAATTTTGTCTTTGGAAAAATTTACAAATGATTGAATAACTAATGACTTTATTTGAGTGAAGCATGAAAGGAACTTATTTAATAGAGAAAAGTCTACAGTTGTTTTAGAAAGTTTGCATAGAAGCAAATGAGAAACATGAAGTTGAACTGAAGTTGAACAATTCATTGTCTGAGAATCGGTTGTATAACACATTTTTAACTTAAAGCATATGTTTTGTCTTTGTTTTGTGTTAATATGTTATTTTTTGGGGGGGCTGAAGGCACACTTTTTTTTTACTTTTGACATTTTGTCACAGTAAAAAAAAGCAAGATTGCTCATTATTTTCATTTTCGTGATAAGTCTTAGCATTGACACATAATGGCTTCAACTTGTTCAATGAATAATAGTTTAAATGCAGTTGTTCCACAAACTGTGGTGCAGGCTGATTACAGTCAAGGTTCAATACTCTTTTCAGAGGATTCAAGAGGAAAACAATGCATTTGCAATTGTTTAATGTTTTTGGTTTTTGTGTCTTTTAGAAAACATGTGTCCTTGAACAAATCTGACCTACATGAAATATTGTGTACAGGAGATTGGATGTACAAATGTCTTAAAAAATCCAATGATTTTTTTCTCCTATCTGACTTGCCAAGCATACTTGAATATAAGGGGTTATTTTATTCAGTTGTGAATAAGAAAACAGAATTTGGTAATATGTCGGAAAATTTGCCAGAAGTTGGAACAAAGCTTGAAAGTTGTTTAAATCTTGTGTTTTCTAAACAATGTGCATGCATACTTGTGTTCAATGCATCTGCAATTGCCATCTATTTTGATCATATTCACAATAAATATTTCGTGTTTGACTCTCACAACAGGGGAATCAATGGTTTGTGTGATCCAGATGGCACATGTGTGCTTTCCTCATTCAGTTCTTTTCAGATCATGTGCAATTTTTTACGATTGCTTTGTAATTCTGTTACATGTAAGCAGTTGCAGTTTGTCCAGTATGAGGCAGGTACATTTTGTGTTCGGCAGTTATTGAGGTTACCACACAGTGTTAGAAAAGCAGATATCATGCATTTACCTGACTTGTCTTCTAATTCAACAAATGAAAATGTACATCAGCATGATGAACATGGTTTACTTAAATCGTTTTTGCAAACACCAAAGAAAAGGCAGCGTCTTGTAAAGTTGAACTCAAATGATGGAAATGAATTTGCTTCACCATGTAAACAGCAGTGTTTTCTATATCGTGATAACAAGAATGATGATATTGAAATAAATGATCAGATTTCCAGTAAAACATCTTGTCAAAATTCTTATCTACATGAAGACTTTATAGTTTGTGACAATCGGACAGGGACTAACTCTGAACCTGGCAGTAGTACTGAGGATTCGGTATTCATGAAAGATGGTTCCACTATGAATTTACACAAAGATGCAGAGAGAAATCTCATGAACTTATCAGATTCAGAAACTGCTAAATTCAAAAAAATTATTTCCATTGGTCCAGTTTATGTTTGTTCATGCTGTACTCAAACATGGTTCAGAGAAGGTGTTCAAAAAGCAGAGTCATTGTATGTGTCTGCTTTAGCACAGCAATGTTTATTGGGTTTAAGATGTGAACAGGGAGTTGAATGGTTGTGTCACACATGTTACAGATCCATTAAGATGGGGAAAATTCCAAGTTGTGCCATTTATAATGGTTTCGGTTTTCCGTCCAAACCACCAGACCTAGAAGTTACGGAAATGGAGGAGAGACTCATAAGTCCTAGAATTCCTTTTATGCAATTAATGGAGAAGCCAAGAGGAGGTCAGAAAAGTTTAAGGGGTAATGTTGTAAATGTTCCGTCAGATGTTAATTCTACTGTAAAATGTTTACCACGGACATTATCAGAATCTGAGACAGTTCAAGTTAAACTGAAAAGGAAAATTAGTTTTAAGAATCATGTGTTACATGAAGCTATCAGACCAAAAAAGTGTTTAAATGCATTGAAATGGCTTTTACAGAACAGTGAATTGTTCAGAAATGAAGGTATCACAATAAATGAGAACTGGGATATAATGTCCGAGCAATCTGAATGGTTTGACTTTAATGAAAAATATTCTACACTTGATAATAATCAGAATGACAGCATGGAAAATCTAATATCTTTGGATGGTGATGGATGGACAGAAGATGAAAATTTTGATGAAAGACTTACAGGAAATACAGATACATTGTTGCACCCTAGTGATGTAAGATCATTAAACAAAGTTTTCTCATTTGCTCCTGGAGAGAATCAAACTCCACTTGGACTGTATCAAGACCCAGATGCAGAATATTTAGCTTTTCCAACCTTGTATTGTGGTCAAAGACGTCCAAACAATAAAGACAGGCATACACCTGTCACATATAGTACAATCTGTAAATGGGAGTTACGTTCACTTGATCGTAGAGCGGCATGTTGCATGCCTAACCTTTTTTTCAAGCTGAAAAAAGTACAAATAAAGCAAATTCAGGATAAAGTAGCTCTAGCAATGAGGAAATGTAAGTCAGAGGAAGAGAAAATTACTGTTGGACAAGTTTTAAATGACTCATCTTTTGACAAGTTGGTAAGATTAAATGAAGGGTATAGAGTTTTGCGAACATTACGTGGTTCACCTGCATATTGGGAAAATGCAAAAAAAGACATCTTTGCAATGATTAGACAGCTTGGAGTTCCAACCTGGTTTTGCTCCTTCTCAGCTGCTGAAACAAAATGGACAGGTCTACTTCGTATTCTTAGTCAATTGTTGAATAACAGAAATTTGACAGATGAAGAAATTCATAATTTATCATGGATAGATAAATGTGAACTGATTAAAAGAGATCCTGTTACCTGTGCAAGATACTTTAGTCATCGGTTTCAAACATTCTTAACCCATATTCTGAAAGGCAAAACACAGCCTTTAGGAGAGATAAGGGACTATTTTTGTCGTGTAGAATTTCAGCAAAGAGGATCCCCACACATACATATGCTGATATGGATAAAGAATGCCCCAAAGTTTGAAGTCAATTCTCTTAAAGAAATACAATCATTTATTGACAAACACAGCACATGTGCTAAAAATGAAAACATTGCTGAACTCATAAACTACCAGACACACAGACATGCTCGAACATGCAAGAAAAAAGGTCAAAATATATGTCGCTTCAATTTCCCATTACCACCAATGTCTGAAACAACTATCCTTAAACCTCTTGAAGAAAAGGACTTTGAGAACAATCCAGAGGTACAAAAGAACTATACAAGAATTTGTGAATTTCTGAATAATGTGAATTTGGGAGAATTGATGACATTTGAGACTTTCCTTCAAAACTTGGAAATGTCTGAAGAGGTTTACATAATGGCGATTCGGTCATCCCTGAAATCTCCGAAAGTTTTCTTAAAACGTCAAGTGCCAGAAATAAGAGTGAATTCCTATAATGAGATGCTACTCAAGTCTTGGGAGGCAAACATTGATGTACAGTTCATATTAGACAGTTATGCCTGTGCTGCTTACATAGTCTCCTATTTATCAAAGTCGCAGAGAGGAATGTCAAATTTGCTGCACGAGGCATGTGAAGAAGCTAGAAAGGGAAATTTATCCCTTAAACAACAGGTGAGACAAATTGGAAACAAATTTCTTACACATGTTGAAATTAGTGCACAAGAGGCAGCATATTTACTTTTGCAGATACCTTTGCGGTTGAGCTCTAGAACAGTGGTTTTCATAAATACAAATGAACTAGAAAACAGAACATTTTTATTGAAGCCATTAGAAGTATTGCAAGAACTGCCAGACAATTCAACAAATATCCAGTCTGATAATTGGATAAAACGCTACCAAAGAAGGCCTAAGGCATTAGAACATTGTTGCCTAGCAGACTTTGTGTCAAAATTTGACATAATCTTACCACCTAAAGACAAAAGACAAATGTTGAATAATGAGTACCTGCCTGAAAATGAATTGGAAGAGGAAAATGATGATGATTTAATTCATGGACAAACTAATGACATACAAGTTGAAGATTTTGAGAAGGAATACCCCATGACAGATGGTTCAATCTTGAAGCATAGGAGAGTACAAAAAATAATCAGATTTGTAAGGTTTAACAAGAATCAAGATCCAGAAAACTATTTTAGAGAACAGCTTATGCTGTTTTTACCTTGGCGAAATGAACTGTCTGATTTAAAGGGAACACATGTGAATTATGAGACGAGTTTCATTCAATACCAGGAAAAAGTTCTGTTGAAGAAAAATGCTTATGCACTTGACAAAGGTGTAGCTGATATTGTGGAAGACAATATGCTTCATATATCTGTTGACAAGGAAGAGGTGATTGCAGCTGAAGTTCAGCATAGTGAAGAATTAGACTTAAGCTCGGAAAAAAAAAATTGCATGGATCATGGTTGCTTTATTCCTGAGTCAATTGGAGTTTCTTATGATTTAGGATTAGATCTAGGAATATCCAGAAAGCAGGTGGCAATTAATGATCTTTTAGTAAATGCAATGGATGACAGAGACTATATCGAACTGGTAAGGTCACTAAATGTAAATCAAAAATTCTTCTTCTATCATGTTTTGCACAAAGTGAAAACGAAGCAACTTCCTCTATATTGTTTTTTATCAGGAGGTGCGGGAGTAGGGAAAAGTGTTCTCACAACTTGTCTCTATCAAAGTATTGTTCGTTTCTATTTCAAATGTCTGTCAGACAAACCAGATGAAATAAAAGTTGTTCTCTGTGCTCCCACTGGTAAGGCTGCTTTCAATATACATGGGCAAACAATTCACTCCTTGTTTTGCATCCCTGCCAACCAAAATTTGAGGTATACTCCTTTGGATGTTCAACAGTTAGACTCAATGAGGGTCAAGTTTCGTTGTCTCAGAATGGTATTTATTGATGAAATATCTATGGTAGGCAATAAAATGTTCAATTTTATCAATATGCGTCTTCAAGAAATTTTTGCCAATGATCAGCCCTTTGGTGGTATAAGTATTGTAGCAATTGGTGACTTGTTTCAGTTGAAACCAGTATTTGATGGTTGGATCTTTGAGAATTTATGTGAAGGCTATGGACCACTTGCAATGAACTTATGGGGAGATCTGTTTAAAATGTATGAGTTAACAGAAATTATGAGGCAGAAAGAAGATAAAGATTTTGCAGAGTTACTAAATAGGCTTCGTGAAGGTCTGCAGTCAGATGATGATGTTAGAATGTTATGTTCAAGGCAAGATTGTCTTGACAAAGGTCAGAATCCTGATAAATTGCCTCATTTGTTCACAACAAATGTAAAAGTTAATGACCATAACATGGCAGCATTTCGGAATGCTCCTTTTGTAAAAAAGTGTGTTATCCCAGCAATTGATTTTGTCTCTGGAGATGTGGCTAATGATGTGAAACATAAGATTTTGAACCAAATGTCAAATGACCCATCCAAAACAATGGGTCTGTTTAAGGAACTCTATCTTGTAGAGGACTTGCCTGCAGAAATTTGTATCAACATTGATGTAAATGATGGCCTGACTAATGGTACGCCATGTATAGTGAAAAAATTTGATTTCAAAGTCGAAAATTCCACCAGATGTAGTATTGTGTGGGTGCAATTTGAACTTGAGAATATTGGAGCTTCTAACAGAATGAAATACTCCAAATATTATAATGATGCAATATCAAAATCATGGACTCCAATTCTTGAAGTATCCAAAAAATTTACTGTTGGAAGAAACAAGACCTGTCATGTGTGCAGAAGACAATTTCCATTGCGATTAGCCTGTGCCAAAACAATACATAAAGCTCAAGGCTCTACTATGAAAAAAGCTGTCTTGGATTTGGGAAAAAGAAAACAGGAACATTTGCATTATGTTGGTTTGAGTAGGGTTCGAAGTTTACAAGACTTGCATATTTTAGAATTGAATGATAAGAAAATAGCTGTCTCCCCTAAAGTTATTGATGAAATGAGAAGGCTCCGTGAGCATGCATCTCTGTCACTCTGTTTACCAAATCTACAGAACATTACAAGTGATGTGAAAATAGTATTCCACAATTCAAGATCTCTTCATAAGCATATTGAAGACTTGAAAAGTGATATAAATTTGACTTCAGCAGATATAATTGCAATATCAGAGAGTAGATTGAACAGATTAGATATTGATGGTATTTATGAAATTCCTGGTTTTTATATGTTTAGGTTTGATGGGACTGATAAATCTGACAATGATAGACCATTTCATGGAATGGTTGTATACTCAAAAATAGATTTCATTGAAATAGAATATTGTATTATTCTTGGAATTGCAACAGTATTTGCATCTTTCCTGTTTCAAGACATGATAATGAATGTTGCATTTCTATACTGCCCACCCAAGTTTTCTAGTATAGCAAATTTCACCAAATACTTACAAACTATAATGCAAGCAAAATTTTATAAAGCTGGTCCGGTCCTGATACTTGGTGATACAAACATTGATTTCAATTCCCAGAAGTCATTGACATCAAATTTGCGAAAACTTGGACTGCGACAACTCATGCACAGTAGTACTACAGACTATGACACTTGCTTGGACCATGTTTACTCCACGTTAATGTCAAATTCTGATATATCATGTGCAACCCTAGATTCTTACTACTCGGATCATAAACCCATAGTTGTTTATTTACCAAAGTAAAGATTTAAGGCCATTTAATCTTTTTTTCCCTATTTGACAGTTTACTGTCTTTGTCCTCAACATGTGTGTGCACATATATCTTACTTTAGGATAATTCAGAGCAAAATGATTTCATGAGGCCAACTTTAAAAAATTGTTTGGTTGTCCTCTCCAACCGACTGGCTCAAAATGACCTGACTTAAAACTTTTTTCAACCTCCAGGAATTACACTATTTTTTTTTTTTATTCCTGAATTTTCCCATTTGTCAACATCTTGAAATTTTCTGAGAGAAAAAATTTTCCTTCCAACATACTAACCCAATTTTTTTTTACCCTGTGTCAGAAGAGAACAAGCAAACATTTTAAATATGGCCTGATTAAAATGCAATTTTACCTCTTTCTCTCTTAAACATATACGGTGTTATCTATTCTCTAACGTGGAAATAGAAAAATATATATGTCATTCATTCAAAAAGTTTGTGAAAGCATTTTACAAATCACTACAATTCTATATTTTGATTTTTAAAAATTAATTTTTGTACTGAAAAATCAATATTTGTAATAAATGCAAAAAAAGGAGGAAGGAAAAAAAGGAAGAAAATGGCTGAGTTACATGTTTTTGAAATATTGACAACATTATTTCAGGTCCTTACATGGATAACTTTATATAAACCTGAAACTCAACAGTATATTTGAAATTATCATTTTCAGATGAGTTTGAAGAAATTGGAGGATCTGCTGCAGACTGGTCAAAAACCACAGCCGTATCCGACAAGTCTTGTAAAAGTGAAGGTGGTGAAAGTTGGTCATATAGCCAACTTCACACAGTCAAATGGCCAAGAGGGATCCATGCTGAACTTCAGCGTAGCTGACAATAGTGGTGCTGTTTTGGCAACGCTAAGTGACGTAAATCAATTTGACACTGTAAAAGAAGGCAAAACACTCCAGATAAGGAATTTCCTCATGAAAGGAGGCAGACTAGTCTTGACAGAGCACACAAAGATCATGCAAGGTCCACTTTTCGACGTTGATGCTGTGCACATCGAAAAAGCCACAAACATTATTACACCTGCCTCGCCAAGGAAGACAGTAAAGGAAACAAAGGATTTGCCTCTGAGGCAAATGGTCACCATCCAGGGGGAAATTGTTAAGGTTAGTAATTATACTCCAAATTATATGATTATGAAAATTGAGTTTTCCAAGCATTTAGTTTATGGTTTTCAATTTATAATTGCATTTTTATGTGACAAATTTCAGTGTACTTCAAATTAAAGATGTAAGAATATTGTAAGAATGCATCTTTAAAAAAAACATTTTACAGATTTGTTTGCTTCCTAGACAATAGGTTCACTATAGGCCCCATGAAGAAAAAGTAATAAACAGCTAATAATCTGATATAAGTATTGTAAAAGAGTATTCAGTGAATTCTTTGTATTGTGCAGGATGAGGCTATTAAGATCGTGAAAGTTAGCCAAAGAGATACAAATGTCAGAACAATAACCGTAGAGGATGAAGGCCAGCTCATCGATGTGTCTTTGTGGCGCAACTTGGCTGAGGATCCTTTGGTTAAAATAGGAGAAAATTTGGAGATAACGCATTGTATCACATCAGAATGGCAGAAGAAGCCAACTTTGAGTACCACAAGAAACACAGTGTTAAGGGTAAAGTTCTTGTCCCGACTATAACTTTGTAATGGAGAATTATTGGAAGCCCATATGAAACAGAGATTGACATGAGTGTTTCTGATCTTAACCCTAGGTCATTCGAACAAATGCAAGGTCACCAGTAGAAAATAGTAAAATACTATAAATTCTTGTCCAGAGTATATCTTAGCAATGGAAAATAATTGGAATTTCATACTTGAAACATTGATTGTTTATGGCCTAAGGTGTATGAAAATTGAAGATAAATTTGTATTTTTAGCATAACACATAAAGTTTATAATTTCTTTTCAGAAAATCCTTCCCAGAGAAATTATCATATTCGGCACTGTTGAGGCCATTTCCTTGAAGGACAATGGAATTGAAATTTCTGTGCACACAAATGATCAATACAAAGATTTCTTTGTAAATAATGATATCATGATTGAGAAAATAAGCGAATTGCAATTAATGGAGAAGTCTGCAAAAGAGGAATTCCTCCTTCAGAAAATTCCCTTTCTGATTGAATTGAGAACACAGGGGTCAACTGTTTTAAACATGGAACTTCTTTGAAAAGCATATTAATCTCAGAAAATATTTGTTTCTGTCATTCATAAGATACCAGTGAGACAGACATATTTTCAATTTTACAATATTTGTGTTCAGGAATGCTCATTTTTGGAAGGAAGGGAAGGTATGATATTCAGAAAATTTCAAAATTTTGTATGTCCATTGTTCATTTATACTTATCACAGAAAAGTTTTCCAAATGAACTGAAAATTATCTTATACGAATAACATTTTATCTCAATAAGTACTTACAATTAATTTGTGCTACTGAATACTAGTTTGTAGTTTTGTTCTCAAAATATGTGTTATTAACTCGGGGATTTTGTAACTTTTGCATTGTTTCTGAAGTTCAACATTTATATGATTTTTTAAAACATGTATAATATTGTGTTTTTATACATCATTTTTGCTAGTCAAGTGTTTCTGATCTGCTTCACTCCTCACAAACTTTGGTCTTGATATGCCATTTTAAAGACAGAATTGTTTATGTCAAGTAATCTAAAATCTGACCTTAAAACACTGTTGCATTATGCAAAATAAAGTGTAATTAAAAAGAAGTGTTAAATGATTTCTATTTGAGAGTGTGTTGTGCTACTTTCTATTTAGATGACATCAGTATATAAGATGGCCATAGTGTTATATAATTATCATTTTTTTTAATAGATCCTCTTCATTAAATTTTGTGTATTTAGAAAGAAAAAAACATCTTGGAGATCCCGTAAACGAATAGTTTTGTAAAACACTCCATGATTGGTTAAATAATATTGTAAGAGTCCAATCACATTGATAGACCAAGGGATTATAAGGAGTGGAATGGATTGGAATAACTTTTTTTGTTAACAATGAAATCTTGCAATACTCAGTGAGGTGCTAAATACTGAGTAGACTTTACAATACTCAGTGACTGCCAAATTTTACTTTCAATTTTCTTGTGCCAATCAGTATTGTGAAGGAAATGCAAAACATCTTTTCATTTGTATTACATTTTAATACATCTTTGTACAAATTATGTTTTTTCATGAAATTTTGCATATATTTTTAGTAAACTGCTAAAAATTATTTCAGTTTGCTACAACTGCATACATTTTTATTGTTTGTGTATCCTTTTAGCTCACCTGAGCTTAAGACTTAAGTAAGCTTTTCTGATCCAAAGCTGTCCAGCATCTGTTTGTATAGTGTTATTTGTAAACATGCCACATTTTTGACTTCTTGAGAATCACTAGACCTATTTCAACTAAACTTGCGATAAAGCATCCTTGGATGAAAAAGATTTATGTTTGTTCAAACCTATTTTAAGACGAGATAATTAAAAAATAGTAAAAATTTATTGGCATCTTTTCAAAATCATGATCCTTGGGGAAGGGAGGTGTTAGAATGGGCAGTCAAAGTTTTACCTCGGAAGAATCTCTTAAAAACTAGCAAAGCCATGATAAGTCATATTTATATTGAAGTATCATGAAGTTGTGTAAATTCTAGTTGTTTTTTTTTTCATATCATGTCCCCAGGGAAAAATGGGGACCACAATGGGCAATCAGAGTATTCATTATCTTTTAAGTCCATTTCTATGAAAATTTTACTTTCAAAAATGGTCATGCCCTCAGCATTTTATGACATTTGATACATGGCAACTTGGTTTTACAAGGAAATGCAAGACAAACTTCAGATATAAGTCAAACCTGCTTTAAAAGTTTCATATTGATGCATGTTTTTTGTACATATTCTTTTTTTTTTTTTAATTTTGCATGTTTGATTTAGATAGTAACATTTACTACATTTTCTTATATATACTTATATAATTTCTTTCATGTGTTCATAATCTCAAGATCTAGATACTTAGATTTCTTAGAATAGTTGACATTCAAACTTATCATGCTCGTTACATTATATGAAGTTTCATAAATGTCATTTACATTTTATTACAAAATGCAAGATAATTTTTTTAATGTATTTTAATCTCAAGATCTAAATACCTAGATTTCCTAGAACAGTTGACATTCAAACTTAATCATGCTCGTTACATTATATGAAGTTTCATAAATGTCATTTACATTTTATTACTAAATGTAAGATATTTTTTTTAAATGTATTTCGTTCTGATACATATAGTTTTCTATATACCACAATGTTTTTTTTTCCTTGTGATTATGCATGGTTTGTTTTACTTGTATACTTTCCCCCCTATTTGTTTCATGTATTCATTATATTTTTAGTATTTTTTAGATCACATATAAACTTAGTCATGCCCATTAGTCACATTATGTTTTACATACATAAGGTTTGCTTCACAACATTTTACTTTGTACTTCAATAAATTTGCATTCTTCTTTTTCCACACTTAATATTATAAAACATGTGTTGCTCTCAGTTTATTTGTAACATTAGTGTGTATTACATGTGTTTGATATTGCTACCTCAAGATAAATATCTTATGTATCCAGTATGTGTGAAATTATTTAAATTTTTAACAAATAATTGGCTTCTCTTTTTACAGTTTTTGTTTTGTTTTGTTTTTTTATTTTATTACCAGAAATACATTCCTGTTAAATCATATTTTTAAGTTTTTGCAAGCATTTCCACACTGTATTTTTTCATATCATTCTACAAAATCTATGTAATCCAATATATTTACAATGCATGAATTTAAGTAAGTTTCAAAGATTGTGAAAACTGTGGCAAGAGTACTTTTTACTAGTTTTGCAATATTCTTTTATTTTCCATGAAAATGAATTAAAAAGTTGCAGTTGAGTGATTTCTTTTTTCTTTTTCCCCCTAGCATAGATGTACTTGTATCTATACTTCAGGAAATTGCCAA